AGTGCAACAGACACTGGCAGCAGATGCCCAAGTGCTCATGAACCCTACTACCTCCAACTATGCCAACATGAACACCGCAAATGCCCAACTTGATCATGGTCTCTTCATGGATGCAGTGAAGAGGGCGCAGGACGTACCATGCAAATGAACGGACGTGCCAAAGAGCAGGACTTACAAGTCTAAATATGTCAACAGACACCGCCTTTACACTTTGCTCCGTCGGTTTTGAAAGCTCTGAACACCCAACGAGACGCTGCCAAGATACCCTGCTCAAGCGGAAGCCTCCCCCTTGACGGTGTTTTGGCTCCCCGTCTTTTGACGGCAAGTTCCCCAGCAGGCACGTTAGCCCATCAGTCCTGCTGTCATGCGTCCTGCACCTGGACGCGTTGGCCATCAAGGAATAGCCCCGAGGCGCTGCGCTAGCGGGTAGCGGGTGTGAGCAACGGGGTCACTCACTATCGTGCGCAGGCACTATCGTGCGCAGGCCCTCAGGAGCCAGTGCCAACACCTGCCCTCACACCCGGCCAACAGTGTGCAGAGGTCGCACTATGGGTGCAGCAACACCCTGCGGGTAGGGCCATGTAAAGCTAGCACGAACATGAACAGCCACACTCGTAAGCCAGCAGTTCCGGGAAGCTGCGCAAGCCTCTGGATTTCGGAAAGCTCATCACAACATCAAGCTGCGTGTCCAACTCATGCTAAACGATACCTTGGCCAAAGCCAATACTACTACGGTTACTATTACTATTGTACTACATCACTATTGTTACCACAAGCATTACTGTTACTATTCCTATTACCATTACTATTACTACTTCTATTAGCAATACAGGAGGAATGCGGGGCATCATGGCTGACTGCTGCAACAGCAGAGTATGCTTGCCTCAGCTCCAATAAGCATGACTTGTCGGCTTGCCGTTTAGGGTTTAGGGTATAAGTGCAACAGACACTGGCAGTAGATGCCCAAGTGCTCATGAACCCTACTACCTCAAACTATGCAGTGAAGAGGGCGATCAAACTCAAGACTTGGTAGTTTCCCAAAATAAGGGGACCCCAACATAGACCCCAAAGTGCTATGGTCCTTGTGATGGGGACCCTAAAAGGGTAGCCCTGATTTCGGGAAACCCCCACTTCACAGGGGAAGCAGAGGCACACATGCGTAAAGTGGCAGCCAACTCCACTGAAATGGAGGAACAAGCGCTTTAGCAGGTGGTGATGTGCATCTGTCGGGGTAGGTTTCTTGCAAGCAAAAGGGGCATGCATTACAGCATTGCTGTAATGCCGTAACGAGGCATTATGCCAAGGTCTTTGGTGCCCCCTAAAATGTGCTTACAGTATGTGCAGGGGTATTAGGCGTTGCGGAGGGCTCGCAATAGGCATTACGGAGGCTTTGTAATGGGCATCACAATGACTGTGTAATGGGCATCCACCATGGCTTCATTCATCACCGTAGTCAGCGATGATTTCGGCGGTTGCGATGGACAGAGATCGCCCGTATGGCAAGCTTGCAAAGAACACGCCAGCACAGAGGCAGAAGTCCCAGAAAGAGTGCCTTGGAAGCCACCCTCAACTCTGGGTTTAAGGGTTTAGTGTGCAGGCCCCCGTTGGAGAGTTTGAAGGCCCAGGAATTTGAGGACAAGGTAAAGGCAGAGCTCTCTGTGGATCACTAGTGTTGTGGAGGCCCCTGTGTATAGTTCCCTGTTGGGCAACGTCTTGGAAATTTGGTGTTTTCTACATGTTTGGCTCCAGGGGGTCGCCTACGGCATGACCCTTGGACCACATATGCTTAAAGCCACGCTTGTATAACGGTCGCACACTCTAGGACATAGTCCCTAGAGGCAAAGGGCCCGTAGAGGCAACTCAATTTTCTGACTTGTCGCGTTTGCGGGAAAAAAGAAGTTCGAGCGCAATGGCAGCATCCTTTGAACCTAACCTTTTCGCTACGATGGCAGCTTCAGATACAGCTGGTGCCCAACAGTTTAGGGTTTAGTGTTCCTACTACCCCTAAATCCCACTCTTCTCCCGCTTCCGCCCTGCGAGGAGTCCAACTTCTACCTGTACGATGCTGAGCACTTCAAGCTCATCCTGTTGTACGACTTCCAGTAACTTGGGAAGGTTCGTGGGTTTCCATTCTCGTCTATTGCATCCTCAATCTTTAAAACAAAATTCCAACCAACAGGTAAACACTTCATTTCCCTAAATCTCTATAGAAATATTTGTAGATATGAAAATAAGACAAGGACCGAACAAAACCGACCAACCACACAACAAGAACACACCAAAAGCACAAACAAAACAAAACAACTGGTCAAGTTGCTGCAGAATGGCTTTTAACAACCATCATATTAGTAAGGTCCGAAATCATATTATGATTCAGTTGCAATGCAAATACATACTCCGCACAGTCCATAATTTCCTCTGCTGTTGTGTTATAGCATTCCCTCCAATCAACGAGCCAAGAATCAAAGCATTCACGATTACAACAACGACACGTGGCAAGCACGATAATAGGTGCAGATTTCCTTGTCCACACTACAATATCTGAAATATTAAAGAACTGTTTTTAAAAAATGCTATGGTTTCTTTGATCGCTTAACTATATTCTTATACTTCCTTCTCTTCATATTAGTGGCAATGTGGGAATTATGAAGCCGTACATGTAAAAATTATCTTTGCACTCTTTTGCCTTTGACCGATTACGAGTGTTTATCAAATTCGTTCATTGTTACTAGTTGTTCATACACGTGGTGCATTTCTCCTATTCACATATTTGCTC